TTTGAAATTTAAAAAAAAAAAAAAGAGAGAGTTCACAAGAGTCTTTGAGACCACTGACATTGTTAACAGTCATCTTTACAGATCCTGAAGTCTGGCCAAATATAAATAAACATAATGTTGGATTTTTTTTATACCCAATCATTATGAATTTGGAAAAAAATACATATTACACCACATATATTGATTTCTGTTTCTGATTTTTAAAAAGTCAAAAGTATTTTTTTTAGAGCATGAACGGCAAATCTTTGTTCATTTCACCACTTCCATTGTACATGTATCCATATTTTGTTGTACCAGGCACATGGTAGAAAGTAAGACCCTCCCACAGTAGACTACGAAGGATGATCAAACCACTGCCACGTTCAAGCTGTAAACTCCATGAACCTGCAACAATAGAAATTATATAAATGGTCAGTGAACACAAAATTTGAGTCAAGTGAAAACTGTACATTTGTACTTTTATTATCTAGTAGAAAATTTACCCAAAGACGTGTTTAATTGATAAAAATCACTCACGTTTTGGGACATCTTCATCAATTGCATCCAGGAAATCAATGGCTTTGTCAAGATCAGCTTTGTCTAAGAGTGATTTTTGGTTGAGTCTCACTGGCTCACGGAAATGGAAATAGGATGAAAGTTTCACAGCATCATGAATTTCAAGACCTAATGAACAAATAAAGAAACAAGAAAAAATGTGAAACTACAGTAACTAAAATAAATCATAATTTGAATCTTTTCACTAGTGCACACCTATATCAGATTTGCTGTGTCTGTTATATGTGACAAAAAAGTTGCTTTTAATGTCTCAAAAAAGATATGCAAATGCTCAAGTTGACACAAATGTCAATACCAGACATGAATACTGTACAAAAACATGATGTGACACGTACTAAAACAGAGCAGCAAATTAATCACGTCACTTATTAGAGATGAAAAATACTGAAATAAAGTGAAAAATATAGAAAGGGATGTGACAGATACAGACTACTGGGGAGCTGCATTTAGTACATGAATGTTACTGAAATATACCTTGAAAACTTCGATTCCTAATAACAGTGCCAGAAGGTGCTTTGATGTAAGCTCCTCTGGGAACAATTGCAACATCTTCATCCACCTGGGAAATAACTGAAGCAAGACGATCTTCTTCTTTAATGGTTATCTACAAGTATAACAGAAGCCAACATTTTTGAAAAGAATCATGGTATAACACAACTGTAAAGAGGTTATTGGAAAAACAGCCAAATTGATCACATGATGACAATAAATATAAATTAATTTTGACTGTAAATAATGTCATCAAGATAGGTACATGTATAAACATGTACACCTGTCAAAATAGTGTGAGTAGCTCTCAATAATTAAAAAAAACATTTACAAGTTTTACAGTATTTACAGGTTGATTGAAGTCTCATTGTTCTTTGTTTAAAGCCACAGGTACTTTTTTCCTTAATATTTTTGTGTTTGACTTAAAATTTGATTGTCAGCAAAACTTTGTAACTTGGCCAAAAATCAAGTCTGTAAGTTATTGCATTTGGCAGTAATAATGACAGAAATTGTTCATTTCATCGTTTATTGTATCTTCCCCACAATAAAGTCATGCATTTCTGTTTGAATTCTGTGAGAAAGTTCACTAAACATAACTGACCTAGAAAGCATGTAATGTTCAGAGTTTGCTCCAACACAGTGGTAAAAACAGTTGTTGTATAAATTCAAAAGAGAAGGGCTTAATGGCTATACAGGAAACAACTCAAGAGTGTGGTGTGCACCTCTGACTACTCTTAGAGTAAAATGCTTCACATCTGTGATGATCAAACAGAATTGTGCGGGCGATTCGGTGACTAATCACTATGACACCCTAAGATGCTGAAATCACAATCAAAGCTACAGAACTGCTCAGTGATGGTCAAAGTGGAATTCTGGCAAATACTGTAGCTGCTGCACTTATTACAGTACACATATTACTTAACAAGGAAAGGCTTCAAACTCAATTTTGCTGACAATACAACTCTACTTACTGTGTTTTCTTCTTCCTGTGCATCTTCACCCTCTCCAATTCTCTTAATTTCTGTATGTTCGTATTCATAAGACGGATCTCCTGTGAATCGACCTTTCACCACTGAGCACTGTTCTTTCATGGCAGTCGTAGCTTGGGGTACTAGACTCCATGTAACACAGTCAGTACTGTTTAAAAAAAGAATATAAATAAATATTGTTATATTGTCCAATGACGATTACATTTTATGATGCTTTACTGCAATCTGCATACATCTGTCCGAAGGTGTTATTTCTGAAGAATATTGCAAACAATTTATTTACAATATGCATACATTTACTGGAATTTACCAATGAGTCTCCAAACAATAGACAAATGAATTTCACTAAATTAAGATCAATCTGACTACCTCAGCTATTTATATCAGATGAATCTGGATTGAAAAGATGTATAATGATTTTAAGATTGCTGAAAGAGTATGGCAATAGAATACACGCAGACAGCATCGTTGGTTATTCTTGGTTACTGACTTCGTTACATTGCTGGGCATACTCTCACAATTACCTCATACTATTCAGTAATACATGTAATAGCAATGTATCTAGACTGAGTTGTGGACGTTATGCTGATAAGACCAACGTAAAAGCTGAATTAACACAAGAAAATAAACAGACTAAATTCAAGTTTTCCGCTGAAAACTGATGAGCTCCCCCCCCCCCAACACCTCCCTCCCCAATGACAAAACTGCAAGGACTTGGAAACCGAGATAGCGTTGTGCTGTTTCTTTAAAATATACATTCACAAATTACCTGTAGAGTGTCTTTCTGTCCATCATTTCATCATCTCCAACTCCCTGTGCAATGAAAATAGTCATCTTTGATTCCTAGAATTTTACCCCAAAAAAACACTCTGTTGAACTTTTGTTGATTTTGGAGGATGACGAGAGACGTTTCCAGCGCTGCTCTTCGTTCAGGGCTCAGAACTATGCCTGAATTCCCAACTAAGCTGATGTTTAGGTGAAATCCTTCGGCGTCCATGGTGTTGCTGCGGCTAAACTGTATTGAAACAGTGAGTATATCTAGAAACGTCGACTACACAACGGAAACAACTTCTGCACTGATCGTGTTTTGATCGCCAACGTTGTCAAGGTGACTGCGCATGCCCGGCATGTCAGAGGGTATTCCGCTGAGGGCGCTATTGTATTGACCGGTGATCTGACCCCTAACAGTACAGCAGGGAGATTTTATTTTAGATTTATTTTAAGGATCAACTACTAGTGTTTGAAGAAGAGTGTGACCAGTGCATTTTTTTTCACTTTGTCTTACATTTACATTTTTCTTGTGCCAACATTTTATCCCTGCAACCAGCCACCCCACGATTTCAAATGAAAAACGCAACGACCCAAAATTTCACATAGAATACTAGTAAATATCAGGTTAGTGTGTTGCTCAGTCGAAATGGCATGGCATATATGAGGGAAAACGCGTTTCCAAACTGATTTTTATGGAAAAACATTTAAGTCAGAATGTGGAGCTTTCATCACAGTGAAGTGAATATTGGCACGACTTCCATATAGACCATCGTTAATAATCAGATCTTCCTGATATATACACAAAAAAATGTTTTAGAGCTTAGAACACAAGTTCTAAAATATGTTTCACAAAATATGTGACGTAATTGCGAAATGGTGGTGTACACAGTGGTAGATACCGTTTCGCCCTCACCGGTATAACTAAGAAACCCGTCAATTCTTTGACTGTGATATATATTTACGAGTTTCATGATTACCAGCTTGATAGCCAATCACGGAATAGAATCATTATTGTGTGTAGATTAATAAATCGAATTGATAATAATTTGATAGTAATAATCCACGACTGATCGCTCTTTTCCAACTCCCATAACTATGTATCCTGACAAAGTTTGATGTGTTTATATTGAATTGATTACTGGAATTGTAAGAGTTTCCGTTGCCATGGTTGCCAAATTGGGAGAATATTTTACTTCATACAGACATGGTTCATATAATGTAGAATCGCATTAATTGATTTTCACCCCAATAACGGGTTGGTTATGTAGATGACTGTTTTCCCATTTAGTATGGAAACTGAAAAAGATTTCAACAAACTAAATTTTCGTCTAAACTATTAAATCAATGGGTTTGTAAAGAACGACTAGGTTTACCTTTCAAAGCTTGTGTTTAGATACAATAACACTGTTACACAGATGATCTCAGATGGTATCAATGTCACTTGTCTGATGTAGACCTCATGCTGCAAACTATTTGATATATGGCGGGTGCTCACACTTTTCGAAATACGTACCTGGCATCACTTCATGTATAAAGAGGTCGGCAAGGGGTATTTTCGTAAGCTGTAATCAATTGTTTTTATTTTCGTAATAATGTAATTTAAATAAATAAATAACCTAAATTCGTAGATATGGGCCCGTGCAAGGTGTAAAAAAGGTGTAATCAGTTATTTTATTCGTCCGTAATTTATAAAAAGACCTTAGTATTTTTTGTAAGCGTATAAAGCATTTCCACATTAAATGTCATAATTCGTACGCAATTTCCAATTTTGATTGTTAAACACAAATTATCAAATAATTTAACATGTTATAAGGAATTTGATTTATCTGTAAAGTTTAAAAAGCTTCTTTTTTTTACTGTAAATGGAACTTTCATTTTATTTTCTGTAAAAACGTAAAATTCTTTTTTTTAATTTTCTGTAACCTGTACCAGTTGCCCCCTTGGTATCCGTATTTCTTTCGCTTACTGAATTTACTATTTTGACTGAAATACTTGTAAGTTAATTGTTCTGTTCTTGTAGTGCTTTTTTTTGCGTATCAAGTTTGCGGGTAGTTATCACTGAGCCTATATATACTCTTTCGTCTAGATTTGGCTGCTGTGATTTCATCAGCACACAGAATGTGGTTTGGCCCCGAATTGTGCATTCATAATGCGTGTACTGATTTTGTTTTGGACATCGGGCAAAACATTATATTATTACATTACATGTAATATGGTTACTACTTTTTTTGACATTCAGGCACAACAATTTCAGCGCCTGTGTTATGAACATTTGCTTCTTGGCCACGACTGACTTCAAAGATATTTACGTCCCTCGCCTGAAGCGTAGCTGATCGAAAATCCCGGACAGATATCAGCAAATTTAAACCTCGGATATTGTTATAGACACAGATTTGATGGAAGCAATATAAATATGACGGTGAATAAACAAGAATGAACAGTAAGTAATTATTTCTAAAACCGCGGGCATCTTTATACATGTATCGCTATTTACAAACCAAGAAACCAAGGCAACGGAAGAACACAATAAATAAGTTTACAAAACAGAATTCTGATTTTATATAGTTTCTCTCCTTAGTTCAATAATAATAAAAAAGATTTACTTTAATTTAAAAAAAACGCATTGGGTCAGGACTTGCTCGTACTTGGTGTTTACGGATTGCGTTCACGTGGGGCCTTTAATATATATTGAAACGACCTAAATCAGTTCTGCCAAATGACCCACAAACGATCCACAGACGACTCAAACAACCCCCAAAACAAATAATCACACTCCATAAGTGTTTATTCACCAACCAGAAACTTATGGCCGTGATTCAAGCCTCAGGCATTTTATAAACGTTGTGAGGGCGCTGTTCACAAGTCTCATTTCCAAGACCAGTCTTACTTATCATTAAAAAGGTGTTAAAAATAACAAAACAATACTAATTTCAGTAAGCACGTAACAAGTTATCCATTTTTACCATGGTTAACAATTTTGAGAATTTCTCATATTTCGTTGAAATTTGTAACATTTATATGCAAGAGTAATCATAAGAACCAATACGATTGGGAACACAGATGGGTTATATTAACTGTAAAATAGATAATTGGCATAAAATAAAATAAAATAAATAAAATTTACTAAATTGAGATTATCTGATGGCAATCTTGGTGGATTTGACAAAAATTTGGTAGGATCAAAAGTTGCAATATGCATATCAATCATTCAATTTGGGCGAAAGGAACTGATATGCATGCTTGGCATTTTTCAACTAATAACCTATACTTGTAGCAGTGCACTTTTGAAAGGAAAAATAAATAAAGTGTATACTTAAGTTGCATGTTTGACACATTTGAAACAATTATTTTTGTACCACATTTGAAATAATAATTTACATTTAAAACATTCAATTTACATTTTTGATTTGCTCGTTTGAAATTTGTGAAACTTGGCTTTCTCACGTGATGTGCTGGTATGTGATGGTAGAGGCATTAAAGTTGAAAATGCACTCTCCCTTGCAGAGTCTTCGAGCTTATGACCTGACTTAGGGAGCCACATACTTATCAACTACCTAGCTTAGTGCTAAAAGACCCATAGTCTCTGCCAGGGAGAATGGCAGTACTGGTGTCCCAATACCGGTACATGTAATGGTTGCTGAGGCCAGGTGAATACTCTACAAATTGAATACGTAATAGAATACAGCACTGGAGAAAACAAACAATAAACACTAAAATAATGATGTCATACTTAAATTTAATGCAGGTTGATATAGGATTGAATATATTCATAAACAATCACAGTTTACAAGTAAATGAATTATTATTGAATATTACTGATTACCACGTTTTACAAAAACTGATAACATAGCTTTTTGAGATATTTGCGAGCTTAAAAACGATTAAACTTTGGTTTTCGTCTTGGGATATGTCCTTCTGGACGTCTGGGTCTGTGATCTGGTAGCAAACCTAATGAGAGAAAAAAACATAATAATGATAATGGGAATATATTAAAAGTGATCAGAGCCTCTAATTGCATCCGAATTAAATGAGATTTGTGTCAGGCAGTTTACAAATTTGTCTTGTATTGGTATTATCATTTACCAAGTACATCATTATTCTTAAAAAGCTTGAAATGACGATATTTTATGTGGATTGCACACTATTCCACACAGAATCAACTCCTCATCTAATCATTATTGTTATATTATGAAATACCATCTTTTAATCAAAAGTGACGTAGCATGTTTAAGCTTATTTTTATATACCAGCTGGTGCACAGCATGGAAAGCCGTAACCCCAGATGTGTGTCACTGTGTATTGCTCTATGCAGTCACTCACTCATAAGCAACTGTTTAAAACGATTTGATTGATCCCGACTGAGTATACTTTTTTATGTCACCAACCCTGCCACACAGGAATAGTTGCATAATCTTTTAATGTGAAAATCTTATGTATATTCACAGCCGATGGAATGCAATAAAGTGATACATAATCTGATAATGTACAGCAAAGAATTAATGCAACGACCAAATATGGAAAATGGTATGCTATAATACTTGATAACAATTTAAGGAAATTCTGAACCATCATACCAGCTCTTAGTGTTTGTTGTGCAACCTTTTCTAGATGCCTCTGTTGCATTCTACATAGTCCTGTGATTCTACTCGGCAGCTTTCCACCATCTGGACGCAGAAACTGTTGTATAATCAAAACATCCTATTGGGAATAAAGTATAGTGCTTTTTAAAATGTATACAGTTTATTGTCATAATTACAGTGGTGCCTCTAGTGACTCACCCCAGTCAGCAAGTACCAATAGCACAGCACGTTGTTCTTAGTGAAGGAGAACGTTTAGAAACCAGCTTCTCACACCTCCCCAATACTGTAGATTACTTTATTTTCGCTTGGAATTTATTTTCGCTATTTTCGCTGAAGGGATGATTCCGTGAAAATAAAATCCAGCGAATATACCTTTTTTCCTATATTTCACATTAAGCTCATCAAAAATCAGTGAAAATAAATTCCATACAAAACGCCTAAAAAGTCTTTTCAGCGAAAATTAATTCCAGCGAAAATAAAGTATTCCACAGTATTAGAAATCTAAAGTCAACAGTTGCGAAATAAAGAGTGTATTGGTGACGTCTGAAAAGCTGGTTTTATAGCTTTTCTTTTACTTAATATACAATCTGAGCCACTGGTACAAACTGAATATAAGTGTCCTCTCTGACTCTGAGATGATATTACACGCTACTGCCGCTCAAATATTTGCTGTGATGAATCAAGTTATGCTTATTCGCTGGTGTGTCATCGCCGCAACAGAAAATCGTACATTGATATAGTGATCTTGATAAACATATTACTAAAGAATGTATTATTAGCAATATAAAAGTCACATTTTTATAAATAAAATACGTGTGAAAAAAAGGGAATCAGGGGTAAGAACATTTTTTGTTTGTGCCTCAAGGCTTAAGACCTCACTCCGCTGACTCAACTTTCGTTTTGGGAGATTCCATTTTGACTTTGGATTCCTACAAAATCAGTCCTGTTAGAGATCATAGTGCTGAATATACAGTAATACCTACTCTGTATGTGATCATTCTATTGAGTTTACACAGAGGACAAGAGGCGTGGGGGTTTTCATCAGGTAAAACATTACTTTTATCTTCAACGTACACCCCTTCTACCTGCAATGGAATAACCCAGTCATAAGTAACACTGTGGAATATTTTGTTTGTTGGATTCACATGTTGTTGACAAACAAAGATTGTTGTTCACAAGTCACTATTAAAAACAATATGTAATGTAACTTTGACATTTTTGATCAAAATTCAAAAGCAATACCATATTCTGTTCAGAATTAATTATTGCAAATATACAAATATTTGAACAGATTTTTGTTGGAGAATAATGGCAGTGAAGGATTAATACTGTATTATACTGTTAGCTAAAATTACTGATCAGGAATTGTAAATCTACAATAACAAAATACTAGAAAGTGCCCCTATGTAAAGTGAATTTAATATTCTTTGATGTTACAAAACAACTATATTTAGATTAATTTTAAAGTGCCTGTGCAATGCCCACCCTCATGTATCCCATTTTAGATCTGTGTCCCACTGAAATGGGCAGTTATTAATTTTTTTACTGAAAATGATTACTCGTATCCAAGTAAATTTGGGATATTGCTCGTGTTGTAGCCACGCCCACCTATCCTGAAACAGTCGACTGTTTCCGGATTTCCGACTCTTGCCGAAAGTGCGCCACCAAATGCCAAAATGTGAGAGGAGGTCATACCCCTGAGCCGTAATAACACTGGTCATTCAGTAAACTTTTAAACGATATACATTTTTCAGTCGGCGTTTTTGTTGTCTTTTTTTCCATCTATTTTCTTTTTTTCTGAGAGAGAGAGAGTTTTTA